GCTTGGCCACCGGTGAGGCCGCGTGGGTGGAGGCTGCCCGCTGACCACAGGGCCTTCGGCGGAGGAGCTGGAAGGTGGAGGTGGCCACCCAGTCCCATCGCCCCTCCTGCAGGGGAGGGACCTGGGCAGCAGAGAGGGGTGCCTCCAGCGTCCCCCAGGGAGAGGACCCGGCCAGGCTGCCGCTGCCCCTTCCCTCCAACCTCTTTTTTTAAAAAATCCTCACCCAAGGGTATGATTCCATTGATTTTAGAGAGAATGGAGGGGAGAGGGAGAGAGACAGAGAGAAATATCGACATGAGAGAAACACATCGATGGGTTGCCTCCTGCACGCGCCCCGACCAGGGCCCAGGCCAGGGAGGAGCCTGCCACCGAGGTACATGCCCTTGATGGGAATCGAACCCGGGACCCTTCGGTACGCAGGCCGATGCTCTATCCACTGAACCACACAGGCCAGCCAGGGCGAGGGTGGGACGCAGAGCAGGTGACAGAAGCGGGCGGGTCCCGCGAGGCTGCCCGCACTCTCCCCTCCCCCTCCCCCGCGCGCTGCCCCACGCGGCTCCCGGCCGCCTCCCTCCCCTCGGCTCAGAGTCTGGGACTTAATTACACCCTGACGCCGTTTGTTTTCTGAAAAACATGTTTATTTTGGTTCTGACTCATTGCAGAGAGTTTAGAAAAGACAAAAACGAAAAAGAGGGAAAATGAAAATCACCCGCAGTCCTGCCACCCAGACACAGGCCGTGCCCGTCGGTGCGTCTGCCTCTGCGCACACACTCGTTCCCGCCACACACACTTCCCCCGGGAGACAGGCGGCCGCACAGGCCACACGGGGGCCCGGCCTGCAGCCCTGGCGTCACCGCTTCGGCTTTAGGTCGTGTTTAGACATTGAGGTGTCATTTGCGCGGCGTAAGAGGCCGCTTTTCTGGAAGTGGACGTGCGGGTGGTCGGCACGTCTACGTACAGATGTGCAAGGCCGTTTTGGGTCCTGGTGAGAGGAGTCGGAAGTGGGGCTTTGGGAAGAGGGGGGAGACGCACCACCTGTGCGCAGTACAGATGAGAGCCGTGCGCTCTGGGACAAGGAGGGAGGCGCGATTCCCAGTGACATGGAGTCGGGGCACCTGAGCTGAGGGGCCGGTGAGAGTCGCTCCAGGGGAAGAATCCTGAAACCAACACTGAGGGGTTTAGGAGTTGACCGGGAGCCCAGGTGACTCTGAGCAAGAGAGAGAGACGAGGTCCCAGCCTGGAGCCGGACGGGGTGTCTCCAGTCTTTGTGGGTGGATGGAAGGATGGGCACATGGAAGGGTGGATGGATGGGTAGATGGATGGAAGCATGGACAGATGGATGGGATGAAGGAGGGATGGGTGGATGGGACAGATGGGTGATGGGTGGATGGACAAGTGGATGGACAGAGAGATGGATGGAGGGATGATGGATAGACAGGTGGACAAATGCAGGGATGGATGGAGGGATAGACAGACAGATGAATGGATGATGGATGATGAATGAATGGATGGTAGGTGGATGGAAGCATGGATGATGAATGGATGGAAGGATGGATGGATGATGGACGGACAGAAGGATGGATGATGGATGGATGGTGGATGGATGGACAGATAAATGGATGGATGGATGGATGGATGGAAGGATGGATGATGAATGGATGGAAGGAAGGATGATGGACGGACAGATGGATGAATGGGTGGAAGGATGGATGGATGATGGACAGACGGATGGATAGATGGACAGATAAATGGATAAATGGATGATGGACAGACGGATGGATGGATGGACAGATAAATGGATGGATGGGACGTAGGGAGACTGGGGACGAGGGGATGCATAGCACACAGCTATAACCTCCCCAGTTCTCACTCTGGTCCGCAGGCGCCTATGAGACCCTGGACACGAGAAAGGAGAAACTAGATTGTGGGAAGGACTGGGAGCCTGTGTCAGGGAAGCCAGCACTGATGGGACTTCTCCTTCCTTCTCTCTCCGCCTCCCCCCACAGCCCCCCGGGTCCTTGAAAAGTGCTCACCTGAGGCCTGGTCTCCCCTGGTCCCTCTCACTGCAGAGTCTGCTGGGACGGGCCCTCAGTGTCTTCGAAACACTGGGTGCTGCTCACGTCCCCTAACCTCTGACGTCACCGCGCCCTTCCTGAGGCCAGCGGGAAACCCCGTCTGCCTCTTCCTCCTCCAACCACAGCCGCCCGAGGCCAAGAGCAGGCATCCAGGCCCCGGGGAACCACAGGGCCCAGCTCTCAGACAGCCCAGGAGGGACCCAGAAACCAGAAACCCCCTCGCCCGATGCGAGGCCCCCGATGGCGGGGGCCGGGAGGGGTGCGCTGGCTGTTTGCGGTCCCACCCCAGGATTCCAGGACCGTCACCCCCAGTGCTGGCCCTCTGCCCAGGCCTGCGGGCCGTGTCTTCAGGGGACGCTCATCCAGGCTGCACACAGAGCCCCGCCTGCGCCTTCCCCGGCGGGCGGGCAATTATTTTTATACGCTGCTGCCGATTAAACACGAGGGAGGGTGCTCAGGTGTCACCCTTTGATGTGCAGAGAGGAAGGGCGCTCTCTGCCTGCCAGGCGGGCGCGGGCGGGCGCGGGCTCATCCGTCAATGCCTGGCAGGTGGAGGGAGGGGGCTGGGCCTGGTGGTGGAGCCCCCGCCCCTTGCAATTGCCTTTGTTTCCATATCCACCTTTGATCTAGTGAAGGGCTGACTGCGAGGGGAGGGATCTTGTCAGGTGGCATTAACCAGATCTGACAGGCCTGGCCGGGCTGGCTCAGGGGCTGAGCGTCGGCCTAGGAACCAGGAGGTCACGGGTTCGATTCCCGGTCAAGGGCACATGCCCGGGTTGCGGGCTCGATCCCCAGTAGAGGGCGTGCAGGAGGCAGCCAATCGACGATTCTCTCTCATCATTGATGCTTCTCTCTCCCTCCCTCTCCTTTCCTCTCTGACATCAATAAAAAACACACTGACGAGACTTGGGGGGCAGTGTTGCTGTGGCCCTCAGCTGCCCCGCTCAGTCAGTGGGAGCACGAAGGTGAAGGAGGCTCCATCCACCTGTCCCCCTCACCCCACCTCACCCCCAGAAGGGAAGCGTGGGATCTCGTTCAGCCACCACCTCTCTGTCGCCGAGGGACCCCGCCCAGGAGAGCTCAGGTTCCAGGGTTTTCGTTTTCGGACCCTGTGAGGGCCTGGCGCTGGGCTCCCGATGTGTAGAGGCCGGCTAGGACCCAAGGGAGGGGACCCCAATGTCCGGCCCAAGCCGTTCACCTGACCTCGGCCAGCAATGTAGTAGGGGCAGCATCCTCCTCTGTGTGGGGCTTGGGGGGCCGTCCCTATGGCCCTGCTACAGGGCAGAGGCTGAGAGGCACCTCCTGCCAAGTGGACATGAGCAGGAGGAAACGGAACCCTGGACTCAAAGCCAAAAACCTTCTTTTTAAAAAAATGTCATTGATGTCAGAGAGGAAGGGAGAGGGGGAGAGGGAGAGAGAGAGAAACATCACGATGAGAAGGAATCATGGATCGGCCGCCTCCTGCACACCCCACACTGGGGATCGAGCCCGCACCCCGGGCCTGTGCCCTGACCGGGAATCGAACCCTGACCTCCTGGTTCATAGGTCGACGCTCAACCTCTGAGCCACGCCGGCCGGGCTGGCCAGACCTTCCCACCACCCGGTCCTGGGGGCTTGGAGGGACAGGGCCACAACCCTGCCAGCCTCTGCCTCAGCCCT